CTTTCCCTGGCAGCAGTGTGTTTTGTTGTAAACATTCATGTTAGTTAGTGGATTTGACAAAGATCCTGCATCTGACATGCTGAGAGAGTCAGGGCTGTTCAGCCTGGAGAAGAGAAGGCCCTGGAGAGACCTTATAGTGACCTTCCAATACCTGAAGGCGCCTACAGGAAGGCTGAGGAGGGACTTCTTACAAAGGCAGGTAGTGATAGAACAAGGGGCAATGGCTTTAATCTGGAAAAGGGTAGATTTAGATTACGTATTAAGAAGAAACTCTTTATTGTGAGGGTGGTGAGACACTGGACCAGGTTGCCAAGGAAGTTGTGGATGACCCCTCCCTGGAAGTGTTTAAGGCCAGGTTGGATGAGGCTTTGAGCAACCTGGTCTAGTGGAAGGTGTCCCTGCTCGTGGCAGGGGGGTTGGAACTAGAGGACCCAGGGAACTACAGGCCAGTCAACCTTACCTCGATCCCTGGAAAGATGATGGAACAGCTTATCCTGGAGGCAATCGCTAAGCATGTGAAAGACAAGAAGGTCATCAGGGGTAGTCAGCATGGATTCACCAAAGGGAAATCATGCTTAACTAACCTGATTGCCTTCTATGACAGGACGACTGGCTGGATAAACGAGGGTAGGGCAGTGGATGTTGTGTACTTGGACTTGAGCAAGGCTTTTGATAGTATCTCCCGTGACTTCCTCACTGGCAAACTCAAGAAATGTGGACTTGGTGATTGGATGGTGAGGTGGATTGAGAAGTGGCAGAATGGCAGGGCTCAGAGGGTTGTCATTGGTGGTGTGGAATCAAGTTGGAGGCCTGTATCTAGCGGTGGTCCCCGGGGGTCAATACTGGGTCCAGTGTTGTTCAACCTATTCATCAGTAACTTAGCTGAAGGAACAGAGTGCCTCCTCAGCAAATCTGCTGATGATACTAAACTGGGAGGAATGTTGGATACGCAAGATGGCTGCGCTGCCATTCAGAGGGACCTTGACAGGCTGGAGAGATGGGCAAAGAGGAACCTCATGAGATTCAGTAAGGGAAAGTGCAGAGTCCTGCATATGGGAAAGACCAGTATAGGTTGGGGGCTGACTTCCTGGAGTCCTGGTGGACAATAAGTTAAGTATGAGCCTGCATTGTGCTCTTGTGGCCAGGAAGGCTAACAGTATCCTGGGTTGTATTAGGAAATGGACAAGTCAAATACGAGCCAGCAGTGTGCTCTTGTGGCCAGGAAGGCTCACAGTATCCTGGGTTGTGTTAGGAAGAGTGTTGCCAGCAGGTTGAGAGACGTAATTGTAATCCTCCCCCTCTACTCAGCCCTGGTGAGGCCCCACCTGGAGTATTGTGTCCAGTTCTGGGCTCCCCAGTACAGGAAGGACATGGAACTCCTGGAGCATGTCCAGCAAAGGGTGACTAAGATGATTAAAGGACTGGAGCATCTTTCATATGAGGAAAGGCTGAGGGAGCTGGGCCTGTTCAGCCTGGAGAAAAGACGATTCAGAGGGGATCTGAGTAATGTTTATAAATATCTAAAGGGAGAGTGTCTAGAGGACAGGGCCAGACTCTTCTCGTTGGCACCCAACAATCAGACAAGAGGCAATGGGCATAAACTGCAGCATAGGAAGTTCCACCTGAACATAAGGAAGAACTTTACTGTGAGGGTGACTGAGCACTGGAGCAGGCTGCCCAGAGAGGTTGTGGAGTCTCCTTCTCTGGAGATATTCAAAAACCATCTGGACAAAATCTTGGTTCATGCACTTTAGGAGTCCCTGCTTGAGCAGGGTGGTTGGACTAGATGACCTTCAGAGGTCCCTTCCAACCTCAACCATCCTGTGATTCTACTGAAGATGTCCAGCAGTGGTACCTGACTGCCTTGCTCTATTGGTTTACACCTGACCGCTTCCCCAGGGAGCTGCATTACTGGGGAAAGGTGCAGAGTTAAGCTCCTCCTCCTTACCCCTGCTTTTGATCTCTGGACAGGGTGAAAAGTAGAGTAGCATTAAAATTTTGAGAAATACGAAAAAGAGGACTATCAAACTGCAGTAAATTCTCTTGATTCAAACATTGCTCTATGAAGCAAGAATTGCAAAACTTGTATTTTTCCACTTGGGAACAAACTAATGGGGAAGAGTGTTTCATGGTCTGCCATGAGACAAACCACACAACAGAGAACTGCGGAAATATCATTCTGCTGGCTGCTTGTTTCCTGGAAACAATGTCTAAAGGAGAGCTGTGCAGTGGAGTATTAGTGTGTCAGAAGCCAGTAGTGCTTCCTACTTTTTCTTTCCTGCTGTGGAAGTAATAAAAAGAAAAACTGTCTTATCTGTTAGTCAGAGATGTTCTTTATGGGTTCAGTAGTGGCAGTCTTGTTTCCCTACGCCTTTTTTGTAAAGAAGGGTGGCTGCAAATGTTATATGTTTTAAGTTAATCTGTGTTTATCTTTAGGTCTTCAATAAACTTATCAGGAGATACAAATATCTGGAGAAAGCATTTGAAGATGAAATCAAAAAGGTAATATTGGTGGCAATCTCCTCTCTAGTATTTTTTACCCCATGTCTAATACAACTGTGTATGTACAAATGTGGTGCTGTTACATATTTTATTTAGCTCTACTGGAAAAGAGGATGGAATGTACAGGTGGCAGCTTTAATCTGCAAATATAGCTCTGTGGGAATACTGCTGGCAGTGCTTGATATAGACTGATTCTGAATTAATGCTTCCTTTGGTTGTTTTGACCAAACTCACCTTTATCCCAGGCTTTTCTGTGCAGAACTTTGCTATGCTTTGAGGTAGAGTTCTTAGTGAGATGGAGTGTTACTATCATGCTAATAGAACAACTCTCTCTGATTTTTGTTTGTTTTTTGTTTGTTTTGTTGTTTTTTTTTCCATGGAATAACTACAGATCTGCTGTGCAAAATGTCACTTGATGTAAGAGTATTAAATTAGTCCTGCATTGTGGAATGAATCCTAACCACAAGTTTTTGTATTTGAGGCTGTTGATATGGGCAAGAGAAAGTCATCACGAATGGCAGAGTGCTCAAGATTTGCCTGTTAGAATGTAGTGGATTATTTGTGGATACTGTTTTGTTTTGTGATGCTGAGTTCTAAGGTGACAGGAGAAACCTGGGCAGAAATTTTTGAAAAACAAAATACAGATTTATTTTGTCTATTTTGAGTTCCTAGTAACAGATGTAAATATATTTTTGAATGACCTCAATAAGTAATAAACACTGGGCTGTGCTTTAAGTTCACAGGCTTGCTGATAATGGCAAAACCTGTCCTGTGACTAAAATACCATGTTTGTTAAAAGTAAGTGTGTTTCCATGTTATTTAAACATTAGAAAAATTGCTACAAGGGTCAAATGAGGTTAAGTCTGGAGTATCACCACCTCTTGTGGCTGAATAAATTTGGCTCAGATTTATACATTCTTGCTCATGCGGGAAATTATTTTTGCACTTGTGGCCAGCATGCCTATTAACTGATGCTGATTGTTCAATACATCATTCTAAAGACCTAAATTTACCTCTGTCCCCGCACAAATCTAATGTTCTTGCTGTTAATTACTGTAATCATTGACATGAGAAGCGCTGACTCATAGCATTCAAGTTTCAGAGAGTGTTCAGCATATTAAACAAATGCCATGTAAATTTAAGCCACCTCCTCCCTCTTCTGTAACTTGCTTGGTTTTGAATCCTCTAAGGATTTACTTTGTCGCACTTAGTGACAAAATGAGACTATGATTAATATATAGTAATTTAACTCTTCAGCTGAGGAACTAGTGCCTCTGATGTGAAGTTTAGCCATACACTAGTTTGAGAGAAAGCAGTAATTTGAGGTACAGTGTGACTGGAGTCCTGCTATTCATGTAAAGCCATTGGAAGCATCCTAGCCATGGCAGCGTGGGGTCAGAGTGGGCTTGTTTACCTTGCAGACTGTAAATCTCAATTTTAGGTACGTGCCTTTTGTATAGTTTTCAGTGTCAGATTACATCTTGTAGGACAAATCACAAGATTAGGTTTGCCTAGTGGTCCTAGGCTGAGGGGAAATTTTTCCATCTGCTCTTCCATTGCTGCCCTTAGTGCTGGTGTGAATCTTGGGAGGCAGATGTGTTCTTTTCCTCAGTTAGTGTAGTTTGAGAATTAGAAACGTGGTTGTGAAGGTGTTTGGGCCTGTGTATTGTACCTGCACTGTCATTGCCTTAAAACCCTTCAGGACTATTTGTAGACCTTTTCCTTACCTTCTCCCTCCCCTTGCTTGTGTGAACCATCAAGTGACTTCTCACTGACAAGACTGCTGGGTTTTTAGCTATTTAATGCTTTAATCCCTGCATGCAGTAACTTGTATGAGAGTAGCTGGTCACAGACGGTCAGAAGATAGATACATTAGTATTTCTAGGAGGTGTTTCTACATTAGTAGTTCAAAGATGACTGCAGTTAGTTGGTGGTCAGAAAAGCAAGAGAGCGACTCCTTGATGTTGGTTCATGGGTCACTGTCCCAGCAATGAAAGTGTTTTTTTTCTGGCAGATACGTTAGGCAGCACTTGGGGAAAATTAGCTCCTCTCACAGAAAAAGTCATGGTAAAAAACCCAAGGCAATACCAGCAATTTCACTCTAAAGAAGCAGATGGTGTCAGGGACTTCTCTTGCAAGAGAGATTGTCCTAAACGGCAGTATTTGTTCAAGCATTTGCTTTATGTCTTCTAGTTCATAGTTTTGTCTTTAGGACATTATTATTTCCCAGCACCTTTCCCTTTTTTGTTTACTTCTAGCTTTCAAATGTTTTATTTCTTAACTTTGTCCTCCTGGAATTACCAGTTATTCTTTCTTCTACTGACAAAAGAAAACCATACATCTAAATTTTTACATCTAAATTACTTTGTGCAAACAATTTCAAAAGAAGACAAAGATGTTTAAGTGCATTTCTCACCTGCTGTTCTTTGATATAGGCAGCTTAAGTTTGTATAAGCACTGCCTAGTGTACTGGCATAGACCTGTAACAACATTTTGCAATAATTTCAGAAAAATTCTCAGTTACAAATTTGTGTTCATCTTTCTTACATATGTGTTTCTGTTCAGGACATTATTGCATGAAGATACAAAAAGACAACCACACTCCCTGTGTGGATAAAATTCCTTAATTTTCACTATTAAGGTTTCCAGATTGCAAGAGGAGAGCAGAAGCACTTGTTTTTCTTGTATGCTTTTTAATGGTCCATGCATGTCTTTACTTGGGCAAAACTTTTATGCCCAGAATTTGAGTCTTTTAGGCACTTTCTTTAAAGACAAAAATAGCATGGAACAGCACATTAGGTCTGGTCTTGTGCTTATTAGGCATTCTGAACTCCCACTTAAATAGGTGGGAGTTCTTATAGCTAGGATAAAAATACCAAATTGTGAGCCAGTACTGTGCATTTTATGCCTGGAATCAGTCTGTATCTGTAACAAAAGCAGTAATGCTGGTGCCTGGCTGACAGCAGGGAAGCATCAGCTTGGAGAACTTTCCGTGGGTGGTCTGGTACTATTCTGAAGTGACTTGGACATTTTGTGACTTTCATGCTGAGGTTTGTAATCGTGGTGGTAAAAGAGCTCTTAAAGTAATCAGCGATAAAAATCTGAAGCAACAGCTTTGAACTGAACAGTTTGTTCTTTTTGATGGTTTTAAAGTGATTTTATTACAGGTTTTGATTCTTCCCATCACCCAGTCTCCCTGTCAATGAAGCTATGTTTCACAGTTGCTTGAAAATACAGAATAACATCCTTGAACAGCAGAAAATGACACGTGTATGTTTATTTGAGCTACTTTTCAAAAATATTAGTAATTTGAGCTTCTTTTCAAAAGTATTAGTAAAACAAAAAATATGCTGGTAGCACCAACAGTACTTTAAGTAGCGAGAGACGTGTAGAAGATGAGGTTCCTGCTCAAAACATACTGCAGTGGGGTACGGTTCAAGAACACCATAATTCAGATTCATGCTAAGAGACTTGCAAGAAGCATGTTTCAAAGGACAGGGAAGAGGATGAGGCTGTGAACTTCATAGATACATGAGTTCAGACCTTCCAAAATATCTGAACAGATTTCTCAAAACTGGAGTTAATAAATGTTTGGGTGTTCTTTTAGAATCCTTCTCCACTTTGGACTGCATAACTCTGGCTTTGCAGCTGGATTTACTGCTGTTGTTGCTTTCATGACTCGAATCTGACACAGACAGATATAACTCTTCATGATCTGCTCATTACTGACAAACCCCAAAGGAGGTTACAGCTCAGAAACACGTCAAAACCTGGTCTATCATGTTAACATAGTCAGTGTGACCACTTTCTAATCAAAATCCTCATCTGTTGCTTATATGGGAGCAGCAGTATGTTCAGTAGCCTACACAGAAAATTGAAAACTGTTTCCTCTCTGTTAACATTTTCAGTCTCAGTACTTACAGTAAAGAGCAAAAAGTCTCATTCAGATTTCTTATTGTGCAGATCTCATTTTGGTGCAATATTGTTGATAAAACTTGCATAAAGAAAACTTGAAATCCCCAGGCCTCCATTTTATGCTAGACTTATAATGAAATTCTGTTAAAAAGTTTTCAGTCTTCCCATTAAATGTGGCCCTGGAGTTCCTTTACCTGCACCATATATATAGCAGTTAATTGCTGCATTCGAAAATACAGTACACCACTTTTTTCTCATCCATGTATTTAGAAATAATAATTCCATTCATCTGGATCCCCAATTTTCTTACATTTTTGGGTTCTGAGTCACAGTTTGTTAACATAAAATTGCAACTTGAGATTTTACAGTTTGATAATTTTTCTTTTTAAGCTAAAACTGCATGTTGCAATCACTTGGCTGAAGCTCACTAAAAAATCAAAGTATTTGTCTGTGGTTCAATCATTCAGGCCTGTGTAAGCTATAATTTAAAGCTGATGCTATTATGTGAGTACTACCCTATGAATGAGAGGTTTTTTTTGGTTTTGTTCACTGATACAGAGCAGAGCTATTCATAAAACACTGCATGAGTTTTAATAACTTACTTCATTACTTATCTGGATTTTTAAAATATCACTGCATCCAGAAAGCTTTACAGTTAATGATAAGCTGCTTGGATGTCTTGGAGAGAGCTCTCACTGTCCATGGTAACAAACAAGCACAGGGACATGGCTGATATTCTCTCCCTTTGTATGGGTAGGTTTTAGTAATTAAGAAATGCCATTAAACTGGAAAGTGGGTGGAAATTTTCCATCAGAATGAGCTGTTCTGCTTTGGTTGCATCTGTTTGCTCATTTGGAGAAGGAAGAAGGGTGTCACGACAGCAGAAGGTAGCTGAATAAAGCGCTGGTGGCTGAAGATGAAAGATGGCATTTTTTTTATTTCCTTTGTGGTGGTGGTAAATTTGAAAGGTAGCTTCTGATGGAGTCAGCAGCTTTTTGCAATCAGTGAAGCTGCCCTTTGCTGTCTAGCCTCCTGTGATTTCTCATAACATGTTAAGAAACATTATTGTTAACAGTAATGCTATTGGCAACTCATTTAGTACAACTTTTTTCCCCAGTGTAAAGGAAAAGACATGTAATGTACTTCTTCAATATGCTTTTAAAGAATTCATTTTAACGTATGAAAGTAAGATATTTAAAATAGATTTAACTGCCATTTTTAGACTTGGAGGGGTAAATATGTAGTTCAGATCTTCTAGTGCTTAAGATGGGGACATTTGTGATTTTTTTTTTTTTTTTTTTTTTCTCAAGCTAGTTGTTTCCCCTTGTAATGAGTAGTGGGAGTGGTAAGATCTTAAAGCAGCTTTTATTCCTGTCTGTCCTTTGTCAGCTTTATCAAGAATGTTTAAACCTGAAATATATTTCTTATTTTATCCAATAGAAAATCTGTTGTAACTGTGCTATATAACCTCCTCCAAGAGGAAAACAGGAAACTTTCTCATCATTGTATTGTTCACATGAGTTTTTGTAAGCTAGAAAAGGAACTGCAGCTGTGTGGAGCTTCGTCCGAAGACTGAAGATGTGAATGGACAGCCTCTTGTCAGCCTGTTGAAATCAGCAAATCTGTGATCCTGTAATTTCTGTGGGTCTCAAGCCTTTAACACTTATTTTTACACATATATATACCTATATTTGAAGAAGACAGGCCTTGTGTCCCTGAGTAAGGCCATATTCCACATACTTGCATCCTCAAAGAAAGTGAAAATATAAAGTGACCAGTGAAATGGCACTGCCATGCTTCAGGACAGATTTTGACATGATTGCTACTTGTTATAGTGGGACTTCTTGAGAAATAAGAAATTAAATTGTCTGCTAATATTCATCTATTTCTCTCTACCTGTTATCATTGCCTGTGGCTCAAATATATGTTTTGTTTTTTTTTTCCTTGTCTGACCCACAGCTTCTGCTGTTTCTTAAAGCTTTTACTGAGACAGAACAGACAAAGCTGGCAATGCTTTCTGGCATCCTGTTAGCCAACGGGACTCTTCCTGCTACAATTTTAACAAGCCTCTTCACTGACAATATAGTCAAAGAAGGTAATTTTCTATATGATCTTTTTATCTTACATTAGTTGTAACAGGATATGTATTTTATTGCTACACATTTTATATGTTGGAAGCCTGCAACTGTACGACAGAAATCAGTATTTTAAAGCAGAAGTGTATACAGACATCAGAGGCCAACATACTTCATGATATCTAATAAAAGGGCAGTCAAACATAGGAAATAGGCAACAAAAAGCAAAAACAAACTCCAAATCCAAAAGGTTTATGGTTTTTTGGAAGTTATACATGTGTGTGCTAAACTGTAGAATATAGGTATTATTGTGATACTATAAAAGTGTAAAGTATGTTATCTATTTCTGAGATACGCCTGTGAGCATTTTTTTCCGGTGTTGACAATATGTGGTCCCTGTGAGTGTGAAGTGGGACAGAGAGCACGTGCAGGCCAACTGGATATTGCAGAAAAAAAATCCCCCACATTCAAACCCTCATTTTGCCTTCAGACCAGTAGTGATCAGTATTTGATACACTTTCCCATGGATTTATATTTACCATACGATGGGTAACTGTTCTTTCAGTCTTAGGGTATAATGCTTTTTTAAAATGACTCTTCTTTTTTTTGTTGAGAGCTTTTATTTAGTTATTTATTTATAGCCATCTACCTTGGAGTCCTGATTTTCCACTGTCTTTCTCTGCCAGTTACTGACTACTGGGAATAATTGCAAATGAACTGTCAGTGTTGAACAGTTTTCATGAAGTCTTTTGGTTTTGTTAAAGAGATATATATTAGCTAGAATGTATTCTAACTTTAATTAAAAAAAAAAAAAAAAGTGTTCTAACTTCATGTTCTCATTTGCAGCATCCTTTCTGTTATATTTGTTTTCTAAATGCTGCAGAAGGAAAAGCCACAGCTGCAGCTTTGCTCTGTCATCACCCACAGGAATCAGAATTAAACTAGGAGAAAATTCAAACAAAGCACTTTTAGGGTGATGGCCTGCAATATTTTTAAATCAAAGTCTGTTCTTAGTTATGGGAGGTCAAAAGGTATCTGAAAACTCTAATTTTTAAAACTCAAGTAATTTGTTATATTTTAAATTTAACATTTTAAGAATACAATTGTTATGTAAAATCCTAGAACAAATTCCATTTGCATTATGAACTTGTGTTTCTAGGAGCCCTAAACTTTTGTCAGTAGCTTACATATGCTTTTGGTTCTTGGTTTATATATACTAAAAATGTACCTGTGTCAGCATTTGAGGAAAAGATTGTTCAAGCAGTGTTCTGGAATAGATCTTTTATGGATGAGTAATTAAAAATGGGAAAAATGAGAAAAAGAGCAAGGCTTAAGGTAGATTATATAAATAATACACTTAATACTTTCTGGCGAAGAATTGGCTGAAAGGGAGAGAGGATAGGTTGTGCTCGTAGGACATCTTCCAAATTTCAGGACAAATACCTAATTCATTTTAGGATCACCCTTTTTCAGTGTTGTCATTACTTTTACTGTGGTGTATAGATGGGAAAAAAACGTCTTTTGGGGATGGCTGATGTATTTCTAGCAGAGGCAGAGAAAGGTCTAGGCAGTGGTGAAACCTCATCAGGTTTAAGTGTACCCTTATGGTCATGCATGCCAAAAAAAAATGCAAATACAATGCAAATACAAAGAGCAGTTAATGAGGTTAATACAGTCATGCCAAAAAACCAATGCAAATGCAGAGAGCAGCTAATGAGGTTAATCAATAAAAAGAATGGCTGAAGTTGCCTTCTGCAAATAGGGGAAAAGAGAAAAAGAGAAGTATTTAAAGGAAAAGACAGTGACAGCACACGAATAGAGTATAGGAACGAGTCAATGATAAATTTGGGCTGTAAATTAGGAGTAAGATTGAGAACATATGTGGGTAGTGAAGCCCTCGAACAGTCTCTCTCTAATATTTGTACTGACATGAAACTTGTTTTAAGCTAAAATTGAAAAAGCGTTTAGGATATGGGTACTGGGGACAGTGCTTGATGACAGAGACCAGAGAGTTCCATTCAGTGTTGGCAGTGAACTCATGAGCACATCAGGTATGCTGAACTGTGTTTGCAGGTTCAGAAATTACAGGTGGATGCTACACCTAGGTCCTCTGGTGGTTGAGCAGGCTTTGTCAGTCTTGACTAGTCAGCCCACAGAACTTACCACTGCATGATTCCACATAGTACTTCTCCAAGGATCATGCCTTACAACTAAGCTCTTGAAATAAGGTTGCCAAAAACTGTCATAACAGTTAAGATCTGTAATGAATGTTAATGAAGTTTACACTGCTCTGGGAATAATCTCTTCTGTTCTTGTTTGATGACTCATTTAGTCAGTGTACCCTAGAAATAAAAAGAATGGATAACTATCTAGAAAGTGGCTAAGAATGATGAAGCTACTTCTTACCGGTAGGTCTTGTCTAGCTCTTGGAGCTTCTGGACTGTTTGGAGGTGAAACAGAAAATTACAGTGAATGGCTGTAGCGCAGTGTACCATTTCCACTATCACCACCCTCAACAGCACTGTAAATGTTGATGTGAGTGTAGTACGGAGAAGCCTAACTGCCTCCAGGGGAACCTTCCTCGACAATGATCTGGGTCTCCCTCTCTGAGACCTCTTAGCTTCCTTCAGCTCCCTGCACCTGCCACTCGCAGCCGAGAAGCCAGAGCAGAGCCATGGTGGTGCTGCTCTAGGAAACAGGGAAATATGACATAGGGGGCTAGTGGTTTCTTAGCTCCCCTCAGAAAGCTTCAGCTAGTGGAGGTAGAGTTTGATTTAATGCACAAAATAGTACGTTGTGCTTCCTTCCTTATACTGAGGAAGGGATTTTTCTACTTAGAATAGTATTTGTGCCTGGTCCTACGAGCTACTAAATGCCTCCTAGAAGGACGGGGTACAATCAGTTATCTTGAAATTGCAAAGTTATTTAACCCTATTTCAGGACTTGCAAAAAAGCCCTTTGAGGATATGTTTTTTTCAGTTCTTATTCCTGACTATCCTTTATTATTTTGTGCCTTCATTTCCTAACTGATTGAATGCATAATTTTTCCTTTTGTGTTGGACTTGGTCTGTAAACTGTGGAGGTAGGAGAAATAATTGCAAAGAAAATCTTTGAACAGTTGAATGGAGATTGGCAATACAGAATGAAAAGATTTTCAAATAATCTAGCATACTTCATAAAATTAATACTGCATGAAAGAAAAAAAAAATGAGCATTTCAGCTCTACATGTTTGGTCCTGTTGTCATAAATGTATTTTAATTCCATATTCTTGTAACCATTTTGTATCCTTGTAATTCTTATAGCCATCTCTAATTCATGTTGAAAATTGCTGAAGCATGTTTTGTGTTTTTTCTCAAACAGGGATTGCAGCCTCTTTTGCTGTAAAGCTTTTTAAAGCATGGATGGCAGAGAAAGATGCCAATTCTGTTACCTCTGCTTTAAGAAAAGCCAACCTTGATAAGAGATTGCTAGTAAGTACAATATATTTTCAATAATCCTTATGTCTCCTTGGGAAACAGAAGGAAATAAAATGCAGATGGTATTTCACTGTAAGCTTGTTAACTCCCCCTCAGACTCTTAGCATTTTTTAAATATTTTGAATCACAGCAATATTGTTATGGCTGTAGCAAAGCTACAGGTTCAGGAATATTAAATATCACATGTTTTTACATTCTGTCTCTTTTTTTTTTCTTTAGTTAAATACCTCCTAAAAGACTGTATATGTAGGGCTTGGAAATTGATTAAATGGCTTTTTTTCTAACCAGAGTTAACAAAACACACACCACCAGCAACTGTGCATGAGGACTTTTATTTTTTTGAATTACATTTTACTTTTGTAATTAATAAAGTATAAAGGGTTATGATTAGGATATAAATTTCCAAAGCAACAATGTTTAAACAGTATAGCTAATTTTCTGCAGCAACAGCCATCTGGGTAACAAATTGATCTGCAGTGATGACAGCAGACCTAGTAGGAACAATGCAGGAAAGCTTTCAGCCGTTGGACGTATATATGAATATGCAGCAATGCTATGTGGCGCTTAAAACCTGTGTTCTGGTTTTGTAGCAATGGCCTGAGGTTTTTAGAGTATATATGAATATGCAGCAATGCTATGTGGCTTTCTCTCACAGTATCTTTTTGAAGATCAATATAGATATTTTTTTAATCCTCAAGAAGATTGCTGCTGTGATAATCCAGTCAAATGCACTGTATTCTGTGTAGCACTGCCTGGAGAATTTCAGCAGTATTTCATGTTTTTACTTCAATAATTTTTGATTAGGCAAGAATCTTTCAAAAGTGAAGCAACCTGCCACACCCCTTTATCTCTTCAATTTGTATTTGATTTTAAGAGTCCAAGTCACAAATAATTTGCCATAAAGCTGGGAAATGTGCTAATTACACTTTTTATTAAAGAGCAGAAAAAAGCAAACTGCATCTTATTTCTGCTTCAAACTTGACTGACTTAACCTTTCAGCTGTTGGCTCTCATTATGCTGCTATATTAAAGAACTATTAAGATATCAGATGATGTTACCTAGCACAGATGCCTTCATGGTAGTTTCTTCTTAATCTCATTTTCAGTAAGTAGACAGATTGAGGGTCTGTAGCTTCTTTGTGGAAAAAAAAAAAGTGCAATCCATCCCGCAGAATGTTGTTAGACACCGAGAACTGGATGGTAAGCAAATGTCGTTGAATTCTTGCTAAGATGAGGTATTTTCTGTAGCAGTTTTTAAGAATAATTTTAACTTTTCTAAGTAGCTGGACTTTCATAAATCATAGCTTGACAGTGTCTTTGAATTAGAAATGCCTACAGGAGTTAATGTTAACAGTACAAAGTGGATTTTGTGGTTTTTGTTAAGGGATGCATTAGTGGTAATCATTGCTCAGCAGAGTAGTGTCATCAGGCCAGGGTGCCTGGGCCGTATATGTGTTGCTAAGTGTATCTATCTTAAGAGGTAAATGTGTGGACGCTCTGGGAGGGTATGGCTTTACCATCTATTCCTTTGTACTTTCCCTATAAGACTCTTGGAATCTGGAAAAGGTATGGTTTCTCTGAGAACTGTTTTGAGTGACATCTGAAGTTCACAGCTATTCATAAGTACATGGACTTCATGTGGAGAGGGTGTTAGGTTTTTTGCATAACTGACTGTCATTTTTCCCTCCACTGTAACGAAACACGTTATGAATGAAGTGTTGACTTTTCTAGTGTTATTACAAGCATTGACTTTTTAGATGCAGTACCAGGTGATTCCCACTCTTCATTTTTAAAAAATGTTCCTTCCATTCTGTCAAGAGTTGGTTATTTACTTAACAGAGAGCATTCCTGTCTTTTTAGGAACTATTTCCAGCCAACCGGCAGAATGTGGACCATTTTGCCAAGTATTTTACCGAAGCAGGTCTAAAAGAGCTCTCAGATTTCCTTAGAGTTCAGCAGTCACTGGGGACTCGTAAAGAACTTCAAAAAGAGCTACAAGAACGTCTCTCTCAGGAATGCACCATTAAAGAGGTAAAGAGTGTTTTTTTACAACTTCTGTTTATATAATAATAGTCAAAGACTTAAATCAACAGTAGGTACAGAGGAACAGATAGAAGCACCTTATAGATTTTCTCTGTTTTTCTTTAAATATTTTAATTTATTCATCAGTTCACTCTGTGCTTAAGACTAAAGCAACAACACATCCTCTGGATTTGCAAGTGCAGCAAGTGGGGTTTTTTGTTCAGTTACACTTGATGAGAATGTATTTCATTTCACTGTATTAACTGTTGGGTTGGAGGGGAGGCACAAAACTTTTAGTCAAGTAATAGTAATATCGCTAAATAAAAACATGCTAAATGCTTCCTTTTTATTATTCTTGTTCTAATTTTTTTTTCTTATTACTTCTATACCGTGGTGTTATTTGTAAATAACTGCAAGTATTTGGCAAGTCAGCATCGTTTCTGGTTGATTGGAAATGTTGCTTAAGACAGCAGTTTATTTCCTGTTCCAGGTAGTGCTTTACGTAAAAGAGGAAATGAAAAGAAATGAGCTGCCAGAGCCAGCAGTGATTGGTCTCCTGTGGACCTGTGTCATGAATGCTGTGGAATGGAACAAGAAAGAAGAGCTGGTTGCAGAGCAAGCCCTCAAACATCTAAAGGTGCATGCATGGGTGAAGAGGGGAAGGGCTACTGTGAATTAACAATACGTTCTACAGCTGTCAAGTTTTTACCTGTTTAAATCCAGGAGATTTAAGAGTTTTGAGGGCTGACACTGAAGACACCAAGCATTGTGCATAGTCAAATGAATGCTAAATTGAGGTAGTTGAAAAGGTGGTCACAGCCTGAGTGCCTCTGCGTTGTGCTTTCTCAGTGCGCCAGATCCTGAGAGGCTCCTTGCCTTGAGGACAGTGCTAGGCAAATGCTGAGACTCAGCTCTGCTCAGACCTGACTAGTAAGCCTGCAGGAACTGCCTTTGCAATGTCTTTGCCAGAAGCAAAGAAGTTTTGGAAGCATGGTGAGGCGAAACCTGTGCTGGCTTTGCGTAGAGCTGGCTAGATCCGGGCAGGACTGCTGAGCTCAGAATCTGTGAAACAATTGTTGCTGATGTTGACTGTGGGAGCTGGATACTCAGCAACTTCTCAACTAATACACCAGGAGCTGCTGCCTAGAGAGCATGTGCACTGTACAGTTTGGTTACTCTGATCCAGGTGCTGTCCTTGTGGATGAGAGAACTGAATGCATAGAAAGACAGGCTGCAGTTTGCTACGTGATGACAGATTACAGTATCACTGTTGCTTGTTGGTACAAAACCTCATGACTTTGGAGTGGAAAAAAACCCAAAACCTAAAAACAATGCAGAGGCATCAGAGTTATTGCTATGGTTGATATTTCTCATCTAAGTCTGAAGGAATTGTGCAGTGCAAGACACTCGAACTGAGAACAGAGGCAGAGAGACTTTTCAGCAGAATTAGTCCTTTTAAGTTGATAAACCATGAGCAAGAGAATACTCCCTCATAGTCTGGGCTGCACATATTTGCCCTAGGACAGAAGCAATCTATACTTTATTCTTTATGGTAAAATGTATCTTAAGCTTGATCTGAATTCCTTTCTTCATACTGGATGCTTCTCCATACTTGGGAAGTTCCCACATTGGTTTAGCTCCTACTACTGCTGTCCTTTCACCTGAATTTGGTTTCCCAATCAGTCCTGGAAATGTAGTCACTTGGGATCTTGTGTAGTCTTTGATGGTAAAATTGAATGCCTTGGAGTCTTCTCAAGTGACCCAAATAGCAGTAGAAAGAGGAAATAGTTTCCAGAAGGAGGAGAGACATTGTTTTTCTTGTTCTTTTGATGTAAAAACATCTCCTTGAGTTGTAACCGAGTATCCATTGAGATTTAGTGTCTGGTACTGCAGGGCAAATTAACAAACACTGTTTGGAATATTTGAACATTGAGAAAAGAGAAGCATAGCTGTCTTTGTACAAATATTGTTGACTGGATGCTTAGTCCTATGCATCTCACTGACCCAAGCCATCACCTATATATGTAACCCTACAAAATTAGGTAAGGCATATTGCCTATAGGCATCTTTCTAGCTACATCCACTGTCTGAAAACAGAGGACAAATTTGTATGTGGTATTTACTATTTGCACTTACAGGTAAGAATTTAACAGAAACAGTGGAAACAGAAATTTAGACTGCTAGCTGCTTCTTTACATTTCAGTGTTCAAAAATGAACAGCATTTGTTTCACATCCTTCTTCTATGGACAGGTAGAGACGGATCTTGGATTTCTGTCTCTGGGCTCTCAGCTGACTCAACAGCTCGCAGCCAACTCCAGAAACCAGATTAACGCTGTTAGCATGACACAGAGGCTAGTTCCTGTGCCCTCCTGTGTATCAACTTTCCCTGAGACAGTCATGGAGTTGTTTCGCCCTGGTGGTGTGAGTCAGGTTGTGTAGAGACATACTTGGTATGGGACATGCCACGCGGTGGGATTTATCCTTGTACGGCTGTACTTGACAGATAACTTTCCCAAAGCTTTGGCATCTGGGTACCAGTCTCTTGAATTTATTAATTTCTCCTATTAAGTTGTATATGAGGGACCCCTGAAAAGACGTGTCAAGGCACAGAGTATTGACCTAGTTTACAGTTCCTAACAAGCCTTACTGGGTGGGTGGCTTCCTAATGGAGGTGGTGGGCAGCCATGAACCAGTAATGCCATGTGTGCCTTGTGCATGGCAGGACTGGCAAGAGCTGAACTCAGGAGGAGACAGGGCAAGCTCTTAAACCCTGAATCTTACAGGATAAGCTCTTCATTGTCCCAGTAACCTCTCTGTGACACTGGGCCTTGGCCCCTGGGCCACCTCTGAGTGCGGAAAAGAGACATTGCTTGTGGGTGGGGAGAATCATCCAGATGCTTCGCACTGCAGGCAAGGCTGTGGTGTGAGCTTCATGACACTGCAGCTACTGATCCGTTGTACCTAACCTGAGGCAAACGGAAAATAATGATCCAGAAATGAGAGAAAGCTAATTATATGGTTCCTTAGTCAGTTAGACAATGTGAAACTTAAAATTGTAAGTCTGTACCAGTTGAGGAGTGAGAGGAATGCAGAGCGAGTCAGTGAGATCTGTCAGAATGAAGGTATCTTACCTGGAAACTGAAAAGATAGGAATTTTTTTTTTTTTAATAAATGACTTATTAGTTATAAACAACAGCACTTCACAAACCTGTGGATGGGGGTGGGTTCTGCTGATGCTGTTAAATAAATGAACTGCAGTGTATATTGCCCTGCTTCCCTGCAACTTGCCTAGATACCAGCTGGATGCTTCAAGGGCCAAAAGGGGAAAAATGAAGGAGTCTTTGTTACTCAAAGCCTGCACAAGTTTTGCACTGCTTCTACCAAAACAGTAATGTCGTTTCTCAAGATATGGGTGTACCCACCAGAAGTGGAAAAACTCAACCTCTGGTGTTAGTTACAGCTGGTAATTTCTCATAGTTACTTTGTAAGGAAGTTTATTCCAAAAGTAATGCTACTGTCTGCCTGCCTAGCTGCTCTTGTTACAGTTGCTGTGTGATTTCTTGCTTTCTCTGTCTATAAGTTGATAGCTGATAATTATTTTGCAAAATATGTTCTGGACCAACTTTTCATATTTTAGCCAGTTTTCATGTGTTTTAATAGTTTTTTCCATGGATCATGTAGATTAAAGCCCTCAGGATTTAGCCCCTTGTAAAGAAGTCCTGAAACGTGTGTACTTTTGAACATGTCCAACAGTACTGCTGGCGATGGGTGGTTTGTAACCTGTCCATCGGCAGCCCCAGTCACACAGACCAGGACTCTGCTATTATTAGGCCATTGCAAATCCAGCTGAAAAATGTGTTTCTGAAAAGGATGAAGAAAGGCTGAACTGAGCAGTGTGAGAACAATTTAAATAGTAACCTTAAGGTATATTTGGCTGAGGGCTCTGAAGATTAAGGGTAATTTGTCTTCCTTCAGCTCTGAAAAATGCTATTAATAGTACCTTAAATTTAAGATTGCGGTTTGGACTCACTACAAGTAAAGAGGAAGGGAAATTGGGGAGATAGGGATATAAATGCTGTAGTTTTTAAGGAAAGAAAAGTGAACAGGATATGGTCCTTTGATGTAATTTTTTTTAATTTTAAGATCTGAAATTAGAGAAAAAAAAATAAATTACAAAAAAGTCTGTGCTTTATCTTGTATTGTATTAATAAACTCCAGGAAAAGACAATGAAATGTACTGCTACTGTCTGGTCAGAAAAAAGGTAGCAGTTAATGCTTTGAAAATGTTGCTGTTTACCAAAGCAGAGGGTGTCATGACACTCTGATGGTGATAATGAGAAAAAATAATGACACTTAAATCACAGTTAACCTGGGATAATTTAATTCAATTTACAGAAGCTCATGGATATTTATGTATATACATTGTATGTGTTTAAGTAATTGCAATTGGCAAGTAAATCTGAGGTTTCAGTAAGACAGATTTTCAGGGATGAAATTCATGATACATACATTAAAAATTGTATTTGTTTATTTTTATTTTCAGTATACTGACGTGCATTTTGTTTTTTACTCTCTCTTCCTTTCAGCAATATGCCCCCCTGCTTGCTGTGTTCAGCACTCAAGGCCAGTCAGAGTTGATTCTTCTCCAGAAGGTGCAGGAGTACTGTTACGATAACATCCACTTCATGAAAGCCTTTCAAAAGATAGTGGTACTCTTTTATAAAGGTAAAAGTCTAAATCCACTGTTGTATACTGTGTGTGGATTCTCGATGCCATCCGCTCAGCTATGATGTAATAGGGAAGAGCTTCTCCGGGTATTGCATATGAGAAGGTTGTGTTGGAGTTGAACTCTTCAAATACCTTATTCTTTGATAGTTCAGAGGAGTGTGTGGCAGCAGGAAAAGCCAAAGCAAGCCCTTTTCTCTCTGTCGCGTTTATCCCTTACTCAAGAAGCACAGTCCACAGTCTGTTCAAGTGCAGTTTAGTTCTTGTATAAAACCAGTTCTAGGAAGACATTTCCATAAAATCCCAGCAGATTTAAAAAGTAGATTAGAGCTTGGTTTTAAGAAAGCTTGAAAGTGCAAACCCTCTTTCTTAGCAAGAAGATTTTTTCAGTTCTGGAATTGTGGTTTTTTTTGTTACTCCCTCTTTGCCAGTAGGAGCTTTCCTTATTCTTCTTTCCTTGCCAATTTCTTGCAGGTGCCATAGTTTGAGGGATTTAATTTTTATTGTGAAGTTGACTTCTTCACAAGTTTATTCTGATCGGGTTGTCATAGAGACTAATGGACGTGTGATGGGTGGGTGCCAAACAGTTTGTTCTGACATTCTTGCTATAAGTAGTTGAAGGAGAAAAATCAGCAGGAGTAGAAACACAGTATTGATCTTTGTTCACCCTGTTGTGTCCAGGTGCATGTTCAAGGCAAACAAGTTGAGATTGTTAAAATAATTTCTTGGCTTCAGAAGGCAGAAGTGAATCATGGATTTATTTCCATCCTTCTGTCAATATAGTGCAGCCTCAAATCAAATGACAAAGTAATAAACCTTGTCCCTCTGCCCTCAAAATCTATAATTTACAAACAGTGACTGAGGACAAACTTGAAACTGCAGCCTGCAGCAAGCACTTCAATTCAGTTTTCTTTGGAAAAGAAAATTCACTTGGGACATGGTGAATGAGCACCATGACTGCTGTGCATTCAGACCATAAGTGATGGCTAAACCAGAAACAGTCTTGTGTAGGATTCCCTTCAAAATTTTTGTAAATTCTTTACTTCATTAGCCCACGTGACCAACCTTGACATTCTATAGTATTTAAAAAAGAGAAAATAAATCATTAACTTGTACGTTAAACTTAACATGCTTCAAGAACCCAGTTCCCATCTACTCTGCTCACCCCGCATGCTCTTGTTCTGACTCTGGACATGTACTCGGGGAGGCTTCTTAGGAAGGGTGAGAAGACTTTAGCCCCAGCGCCACAGCTGCCACAATATTGTTTAGGATTCGCGTGATGTCTGGAAGAGTGTTTGGAGCTGCTGTGTGGCCTGTTGGTGGAAGCTGTGAGTTCAGCATGTCCAGCACGTGCCGTACTTGCCATGCCTGTATTCCTGCCTGGAATATCTCAGGCAGGCGTGCCGGAGCACCTGCCTCTCTGCCATCTCTGTGGTCACGCAGCGGCACAGCTGCCAGCCCTTCCCGGCTGCGGTTGGGCTGAAGCTGGATCTGCCCCGTTGGGCAGTTAGTGCTGCCTTCCAGCAACTGCTGGCCTGACTTCACAGCCACTGGCTGTAGGGCCCTTCTGACCGCTGGACACAGTAAGGAGGTCATCAGCTCCATCTGTTCAAGGCAGCTTTGGAGTTAAACAGCGTTCATTAGGGGAAGACATGCTGCTGTGTTAACCAGGGAAGATTCTGGGAGCACTACTCCTCCAGTTCCCGTTTTTCCCACGTGGTGTTATCAAGCTTTAACAGCTCGTGGCTTTGGCTTGTCCAGAGCCACACTGCCTACCTCTGCTTTCTTTCAGTGCTGACAGATCTCACCTTCTCCTTCTCCTTAGTTCATATCAATCCACTAGATACAAGCCATCAAGTCTTTTTAGAGACATACTCTTTATTATAGATAAGTTGCTGATGACAGCATATCTTCTGTTTCCTGGTAGTCAAGGAAAACGGCCCCCAAAAGATATTACTGGTGATGTTGATGGTGAGGGAACAGCAGATGCCGGTGTTCCCCTTTCTGATGTGCTTCAAGTGTAACAAGCACAGGATCCAGAAAGGTTTAGGGTACCTAGCAAACTTTTTCTAGTAACAAATAAAGGCATCTAAGTACCTGTGGATGGGCAGCCAGAAATGCAGCTATCATAGAATGGTTTGGATTGGAAGGGA